TCTGGGCAAGGGGCGAGCAGGGTCCTGGTGGGGCAGTGAGGGCAGCCCTGAGCGGGCTGGGCAGTGCGCTGGCCAAGGGACCCAACGGGACGCTGCTCTGAGTGGTGACGGCCCTACCCGCCCTTCCCTCCACAGGCCAAGAGCAACACCGTGGCCGTCTCCATCTGCAGGAAATGCATCTCCCCCAAGCCTGCCCGCACGCACCACTGCAGCATCTGCAACAGGTAGGGGTTCCCCCCACTTAGCCCCCCCCCCCCCCTGCAGCACCTGCAATGGGTAGGGGCTCTCCCCCCCCCCCCCCCCCCCCCACCACTGCAGCACCTGCAATGGGTAGGGGCTCTCCACCCCCTGCACCACTGGGCACCTGCAGCAGGTGAGCAGCTCTCCTCTCCCCCTTTGCTCCGCTGGCTTCTTGCCTCAGTCCCGGTGGGCTGTGCTGAGATGGGAGACCCCAGCTGGTGCCCCTCTCTGCAGCCCGGCTGCGGGCTTGCTGTGTATGGCACTCAGCATGTGCCGCTCTCCTTCTCCCAGGTGTGTGCTGAAGATGGACCATCACTGCCGTATCCTTCCGCAAAGGTGAACCCCTGCAGCCCCTGCCCAGCACGGGGAGCAGTAGGATGGGGGGGCAGTCTTTGTGCTGTCCTGGCACTCTGGGGGCCAGCTCTTCATGCCCGAGTGGTGCCGATGAGCCGGGGGTGCAGCAGGCTGGCAGGGGGTCCGTGATGCTCACTGAGCGCCTGGCGCTGCCGAAAGGGGATGCACGGAAACCTGCCCTTGGAATGGCTGGCGGACAGACAGGCAGCACCTGGCACGTTGGGCGCAGGGAGGCTTCTGGCTGGGCTGATCAAGGGGAGGGTTTGCACCCTCCTGAGCACTCTGTGGGTCTCGGTGCACTTGCCGGGCAGTGACCCCGTCCTGTCGGACTCTGGGCACCTCTGGTTGAAAAGTGCAGCCCTGCGAGACTCCAGGTCCCAGCATGCTAGGCTCCGTGAGCGCCAGATGGGGCAGTGCATACTGGGGCTCCTGGTTTAAGCTGTGGGGCTGCTTTCCTGCCCCCTTCCTGGCAGGAGCTCCCTGGGTGTTCCTGGGCAGGGAAGTGTGGGGCCAGCCAGCAGGAGGCAGGGGGGCTTTGCCAGCCTGGCTCAGAGGGGTTCTGTACCCGCCGGCCCGTTACACATCTTTAACCCAGGCGCAGCATGGCTGAATAACTGCGTGGGACACTACAACCATCGCTACTTCTTCTCCTTCTGCCTCTTCATGACCATGGGCTGCATCTACTGCGGCATCAGCAGCTGGGACATGTTCCGAGAGGCCTATGCTGCCATTGAGGTGACTGGGCCCCCAGGCCTGGGGGGGGGCTCAGCTGAGCCAGCCAAGGGCGTTAGTGGCTGTTGTGCCCAGGCTCTTGTCCTGTGCCCATCACCCTCTCGCTGGGGCTTAACCCCTGCCCCTGGACTGGCAGCCTGGCCGCATGCTGAACGAGGTCCCCCCTCTTACAGGGCAGAGGGGCCGGCCAGCCCCGCCCCGGTGAGTGGGGCCAAAGGACGCTGGGCACGTGGGGGAGGGTGCTGGCGCCCCTGCTGTGAGACGTGTAACTGGCGCCCTATGTTTTCCGTCCAATAGAGAATGAAAATGCTTGAGAAGGAGAGACTGCAGGTGGCTGCCAACCAGGTGGGATATTCCCGCTCCCCTAGCTGCTGAAGGCAACATGGGGCAGAGTTGTGTCTAGGGGTCCACCACAGCCCCCCAAAAGGTGCTGCTCCCTGAGCCTACAGCTCCCAGCATGCACTGCTCCACCCTGTCCTGGAGCACTGCATGCTGGGAGCTGGAGTCTCAGCCAGCTGCATAGCCACTCTGTGGTCTGTGCTGGAGCAGGGGCTGGGATGGGCCAGGCGACTCTGCCAGGACACTGCCCCAGCACCTCGGCATTGTGTGAACAGCTCTTCCCCATGTGCCACTCGGGTTCCTGGTCTGGGGGCGCAGCGGGTGCCACCTGTGCCGTTTGCTCTGGCAATGCCTGCAGGCCCTGCTTGGCGGCTGTCCCATCGCTCCCCTGAACCAGCCACACGCCCAATGCTTTGTGCTCTCGCTGCTGCTGTCTCTTGCAAGGTGTCTGTCCGGCCATGCACTGTGTGTCCATCCATCTGCTCTGGCTGCCTGGGCCCTGGGGGCCATTTACATCTCGGGGGGGGAGGGGGTAGAGTAGCCCCCGACAGCTATGGAGGCCCAGCATTAGTCTGGCCTAACCTGCCCGCCTGCCCTTCCTTTCAGACGTACTACCAGACGCCGCCCCCCGCCTTCTCCTTCCGCCAGAGGGCCTTCCACAAGAGCGTAGTCTACCTCTGGGTCCTGTGCAGGTAACCGGGCTGGGAGCATGTCCAGGGCTAGGCTACTGGGTCCAGTCAGCCCCATGCAGGGGTGTATGGCACAGCGGGGCGAGCATGCCTGTGCCCCCTGAATTGGCAGGCGAGCCTGGGCCTTGCCCTGCAGCAACACGCTTTGGGAGCCCAATCGCTTCCCTTGGTTCCCTGGGGCAAGGAGGCGGCTGGCTCTGCTGGGGTTCCCAGCATGCTTCAGCTTGGCCCCTCCCCCCACCATCCATCAGCACCCCCCTCTGCTCTCCCCCCAGCTCGGTAGCAGTGGCCCTGGGGGCCCTCACGCTGTGGCACGCTGCCCTCATCACCCGAGGGGAGACCAGCATCGAGAGACACATCAACAAGAAGGAGCGGCAGAGGCTGCAGAAGAAAGGCAGAGTGAGTGTGGGGCCCGTGCTCTCGGCTGGGATGGCGGGGGCGGCTGAGCTGCGGGGACTAACGTCGGCCCTCCCTCCGTCACAGGTGTTCCGGAACCCCTACAGCTACGGCGCCTGGGACAACTGGAAGGTGTTCCTGGGCGTGGAGATGCGCAGGTAGACTCCCCGCTGCGGGGGGAGGGAGGGGCTGGGGCTCTGCCTGGCAGGTGCCCTGTGGACACGCGCAGGTAGACTCCCCGCTGCGGGGGGAGGGAGGGGCTGGGGCTCTGCCTGGCAGGTGCCCAGTGGACACGCGCAGGTAGACTCCCCGCTGCGAGGGGGAGTGGGGCTCTGCCTGGCAGGTGCCCAGTGGACACGCGCAGGTAGACTCCCCGCTGCGGGGGGAGGGAGGGGCTGGGGCTCTGCCTGGCAGGTGCCCCGTGGACACGCGCAGGTAGACTGCCTGCTGCGAGGGGAGGGGGTGGCTGGGCTCTGCCTGGCAGGTGATGGAGTCACTCCTGGGTTTTCCGGCTGACTCTGCCGCCTGGGGCAGATCACTGCAAAGCTCCGTTCACCCCTTCGTTAGACTCACCGGGCCGGTAGCTGGCACCTGGCCTCCGTGCTCACCCATGGAGGATTTTGGAGCCTGGCCCAGTCTCAGCGTGTGACGTAGGGCTACCCCCCCAACACGGGAGCTCCTGGCGAGGTGGACACTGGCACCACCTGCTGCAGTGCCGGAGCCCAGAGCCCAGCCCCTGTGAAGCTAACTGGGGGAGGGCAGGGCCAGAGGGGCTGGAGCCAGCCTGGCCCCTGCGTGGAGACTGGCAGCCAGGGCTTGTCTTCTCACCACGGGGCTCTATTCCCTCCCCCAGACACTGGCTCACCCGTGTCCTGCTGCCGTCTACACACCTGCCCCATGGAACTGGCCTGAGCTGGGACCATCCTCGCTGTGTGACAGAGCTGCGCACACCTCTCCTGGCCATCTAACGGGCATGGGGGCAGAGGCGCAGGGTGTGGGACCCGCCCCTCAGCACAGGCCAGCAGCGTCTGGACCCACTCCAGCCTGGCACTAGCAGAACCTCCTCAGGGGTGTCCAGCGTGAGGGAATGCACCAGCCGGCTGCCTGGAGCCTCCCAGCTCCGTTCACCAGACCCCCCCCAGCAAGCCCCAGCGTGGCTGCAGGCAGCCCGTGGCACTGGGGCGCTGTGCCTGGGGGGGGGGGGGGGGACATGCTGCAGTCCGGAGACACAGGGACAGGCGGGCAGCATGTGCAGGGAAGGGAGCGGCTCTCTGCGGGGCACCACCCAGGACAGCAGAGACTCCCCAGCTGGCACTCGGGGCAGGGGGCTGCTGGGGGCCCCTCCCCCCCAGCGGATTTTAAATGCCAGAAATAAAAACATTTTTTCACTAATGGAGCTGGAGTGTTACTTGCTGCCGGGGCCGAGTGGCAGGGGGAAGCTTTGCCCACACGCCGTACGGAGGCAGACTGCACATAGGAGCCAGCCATGGGGTGACCCGTCGGTCAGGCCGCTCTGCTTAGAGGACACACCAGCCGGCGGGGCCGAAGCAGCGGGGGCCAGCCGTTAAGGCACAGGGCCGAGAGCCCAGGGACCTGAGTTCTGGGCTGCAGGCTGACCTTGGGCAAAGGAGTGGTCGTGTGGCACCCAGCCTGAGGGGGCACTGCCCCCCCACCCCCACCCCAACAGCCAGCAGGGGATGAGCAGGTGCAGCTGCTGGACAGAGCCGGCATAGACATGAGTGGGGAAGGCCAGCGTTAGAAGGGCGCTCCTGTTCCCAGAACAGGGCCCCTGCCTGCAGGATACAGCAAAGCCCTGGAAGGGGCAGGGCGTGGGGCAGTTAACAGGACCCCAGGGAACGAGGCCCCTCCGGCTGGAGGAATGCAGGAGGGATATGCAGGCTGACGTGGTCCCTGGGGCCTTTAGACCCAGACTGGACCAAGCCCTGGAGAGACCCAGGGCCAGGCCAAACCCTTGCCCTCAGGAGAGAGACAGAGAGACCGCAGGGCCGGGCAGGGCTCACACCTCCCCAGCAGAGGGTGCTAGGCAGCAGCCTCGGGCCCCTCACCCCAGCCATCTTCCCCACTCAGGCCATTAGCAAAACGTGTGTTTATTGGGCTGGCCCATGGATTCCACGCGCCGCCTACAAGTGTGCACGGCCGGGGGGCGCGGCGCCTGCCTTCCCTCCAGCACTGCAGGCAGCAGGAGCGGGGCCGCCCCGCAGCTCCGATGTTGTGCTAGGAGCCGGCCGGCCTCGGGCAGGGGCTGCCGTCCTTCCCGCCCCGCTCTGGGAGGCTTGGCTGGTTAGTGGGTTCCTGGTTAGATTGTCAGTCAGTGCGGGCAGGGCCTCACCTGCCTGGGCTCCCCAGCAGGAACCTGCAGACACAGAACAGGCAGCACGGTCAGGGGTGAGCTCTAGGCTGTGTCCCGGGAGCCCCCTGCCGCACCCCCCTGCACTCACCATTCCCCACGGGCCACCACCGCCTCCTTCCGCACCAGCCGCTTCATGTCGTCCAAGGGTTTGGCGAGGGCCCGGATCACCCGTGGCTTGTAAGGGAGAAGCTGGAGGGGAGAGAGCTGCCTGTCAGCGTGGGCACTGCACGCCATGGAGCGAGGGGCCCATGCCCGTACAGGGGGGCTGGCAGCCCCATGTTCCCGACGGGGATGTCTGAACTGCCCCGGGGAGTGTCCCCTCCCTCCACGCCCCCGGGGGCAGTACGGAGCGGTGCTCGGCCCGCTCCAGGCAGGCTGTGCCCAGCAGACACCCCCTGGGGTTCCCCCTCTCTGTACAGGGACCCCAGCTCTATCCTCTTACCCATGGTCCCTGGCACTCACCTTTCCCCAGCGAGGCCAGACATGGTGCCCAGCCTGTCTCCCAGGCCTGCGCGCAGCGGGGACTTACCGCGGGGATGGGCAGGCTGGTGAGCGCGTGGACACACTGCAGTGCAGCGATGCGGATGGCCTGAAAGACACAGAGCCGGGGTGAGTGCGGGCGGCAGGGGGGCGGGGAAGGGAGCGGGTGGGGCACGCACCATGGCGGGGCTGGAGGTCAGGCCCAGGAACTTGGTGACCAAGGTGTCGACGTGCAGGCTCATGACATGCGGCGCCTCCAGCAGCAGGGGCTGCAGGCAGCTGAGGGTGGAGAGCTGCACCACGCGGTCCGGGCAGGATAAGGCCTCCAGCAGCAGGGACAGCAGCTGGGGGGACACAGGCAGTGAGAGGTCTGTCGGCTCGGCCCCCCCGGCCCAGCCCGGCCCAGCCCAGCACTCACCGTGGGCAGCTCCGTCACCAGCACCGGCCTGGGCAGGTGGTTCAGCACGTGGGACAGGCCCTTCAGGTAATTCGCCTTCACGCCTGGGGAGAGCAGAGAGAAGCGGGTCACAGCCCCGTTCCTGGGAGGGGCCATGCACACACCAAGGGGGCAGCACCCCCCAGAGCTAGTGGCCCTGTAGACACTGGGAGCTGATCCCCACCATTCACGCCCAGAGGGCTGGGAGCCTGAGGGGGTGGGAGCGACCCAGGGGGCGGGTGGGAATGACCCCGGGGGGGGGAGCGGCAGGTGGGGGGGAGGGGCAGGCCGCAGGGGGCTGGCCGGGGCAGGCAGCGGGGGGCCAGCCCGGGGTTGGGAGGGGCCCAGGGGGCAGGAGGGGCAGGGGGTGGGAGCAGCCCAGGGGGCAGGAGGGGCAGGCAGCGGGGGGCCAGCGCGCTCACCGGGGCCGGCAGCGTGGAAGCCCTGGACCAGCTTGGGCACGTTGTCAGTGAAGAAACGCTGGCGGAACATGATGCGCACGTCAGCGTGACACCCCTTGTGCAGCACATCTGGGGAGTCGGCCATGAGCAGGGAGAAGCCGTCGGCCACCGCGGGGCCCAGCTCTGGGTCACCCAGGAGGCCCAGCAACTGCAGGGGGGAGAGAGGAACCGGGAGGCTGAGTGAGGGCATGTGACCCAGGCTGGCAGGGCCTCTCCCAGGCCCAAGGACAGGGGCAGGGGCAGGGTCCCCAGGGCCTCCCCTGCGCACTGTCTCCACAGGGGTGGCTGGCTGCTCACCTTGTCTGTCAGGCGGGAGCTCAGCGGATGGTAGCGCAGCACCAGGGCTTTGGTCACCTGCAGGGGCAGAGAGAACAGTCAGCTGGCCCCAGGGGGCCCGGAGAGCCGTGCGGGCACTGCCAGCTGGCCCCAGGGGGCCCGGAGAGCCGTGCGGGCACTGCCAGCGCCGGCTCCCGCCCAGGGTGCTGTCCTTACCCAGAGGAGCAGGGCGAGGGCCTGGGTTCTGAGCGGGCCCTCGGCAAGGCCGGCCTCCATCCTGTTCACCGCTGTCTCCAAGAGCTGGTCCAGCTGCTGCCCTGGGGGGACAGACGGGACAGGCTGATGGAGTCCTGCAGCGCCCAGGCCGAGCGCCCGAGGCTGGCCCAGCGCCTGCCCCACCCTCTTACCTGGCGGGTACTTGTTCACCAGCCCCGCGAAGCACTTGGCAGCCGCGGTGGCAGTGAAGGGGCAGTCGCAGGAGCAGCTCAGAGCCAGCAGCTCCTGCAGCAGCCTGTCCTGCTGGGGAATCGGCACCTGGAAGAGATCAGAACCCAGTACGGACGCTGGGCGCTCAAACCCCAGAGCTGCCAGTCACCGAGGTGCTGCCCACGCCACATCCACACTGCCCCCTGGTTCAACCCGGCCCCTCCAGCCCCGGGAATCCGGGCGAGGGCCCATCCCCTGACTTACGTTCCTGGGCAAGGAGCAGACGAAGGCCATGAGCAGGGCGACGAGGCGTCTCTGTGCTGCCACGTGCTGCCCGCCCTGCAAGGGAAGAGCAGCGCCAGTGTCACCAACTGCCCACGCCGCAGCCCCAGCCCCTCCCTGCACCCCCCACTCACCTGGAACGGCTGGAAGGGGCAGGGGAAGCTGTCCTGGGGCAGGAAGGAGACCTCCCCGTCCAGGAAGAGGGGCACCACCTGGGAGACGCTCTGGGCAGCCAGCCTGTGGGAAGGGAGGGGGAGACAAGCAGGAGCCTCAGAGCCGTGGCCAGGCAGGTCAGGAGAGTGGCACTTCCACCCAGTCACAGAGCCCCCCACTGCGAGGGAACAGCCCCTCTTCTCTCAACCCCCGGCCCCCCAGGAGGCAGAGCTGGGGGCTGAGCAGCACGACGGGCATGTGATGGGACAAGGTGGAAAATGTTTAATATTTTATGAGTCTGGTGTGCCTCAGTTTCCCCTGCGCTGTTCCCCCGTGGGTGGGTCAGGACTGTTTTCTCTCAGGGTAGGCAGAGACAAGAGTGGTGTCGCCTGGCTGTCTGGGCCTGGCCCCAGATCAGTAGAGATTTGAGACGCCGATGGCAAATCCAGTCCCCAGGACACTGACACCCAGTGCCCCAGGGGACAGAGATCTCCCTGCCTCTGCGCAGGGAGGCTGAGCCACGCCCCCAGCTGGAGATCGAAGGGCTGGGAGGCGGGTGGGGGGGCTCAGAGGGGACTGCTGGAAGGAGTCGGGGCTCTCACCGGGAGTCAGACCAAGGAGGTCACAGCCCGACAGCTGGAACAGGGGCTCCCTACAGCCTGGCCGGGCGCGGGGCTCCCCAGAATGGGCCGTGCTGTGACCTTCAGTTCTCTGGGCGACCCGATGGCCGGCTTGGGCCGTGGCCAGTTACCGAACAAACCCGACTATCTGAGCACTGGGGGAGTCGCGGCGACCGCTGGCCGAGGGGCTAATGCACAAGCCTCCCACGGGGTGTGTCCCAGCTGGACCAGCTGCCTGGAGCTCAGGGGGGCAGAAGGGGGGCTGCAGGGCCGGGGAAGCAGCGGGGCTTATCCAGGGGGTCTGGCACACTGACTGGCTCCTCCCAAGCTGGGGCCGGAGCACCGACCCTGTGGCTCCGTGACGCGGCCCCGGTTCAGAGCCCCGGTGCCCTGCCCTGGGGTGCCGGTGTTACTCACTCAGGGCACAGGTGGGCGCTGGCCGCGCTGACGACGGGCACCATGGCAGTCAAGACCTCCTCCTCCAGCAGCAGCTTCCCCACTGGCGAATGGGCGTTCTCTGCAGCCAGCAATGGGGAAAGGGCCAGGTCAGAGCCTGCCTGCAGCCCACCCGGGGGGACCTGCCACAGGCGCCCCCTGAGTGCTCCCGGGCACCAGCAGGCTTAGGAGAAGGGCTACAAGGCTGGCGTGGCCATTGCAGGTCCTCTCAC